GCTTGTTTCAACTGTACAAGTACATCATCGTATTTCCCATTTACGAAGTCAACTAAACGTTTTCAGAGTCTTGAAACCCGTTGTTCAGATTGTTTAACTTTCGTTCTAAGGGTTCTATTGCTTCTTTTAAAAGATTCTTAATCTCTTCTCGTGTAATACCCATTTTTGCGCCGTTTTGGACGGAAGACCGTTCAAACCCGACCGACCGCAATCACGGCAAATGCAAATCCCCAATGGTCTAAAAAGAATTGCAGTGGCTTGACCTGGTGAACTGATACTAATTAAAATATATACCTTATTACTGACTGAGAAAAAACAAACTAACAGCTAGTGTAAAAAAGATATTCTCGCAACAAAAAAAATTTGAGAAAAAAATTATTAAGCAATTTATGGATTTTTTAGCGTTTGCCATTTTATATACACCATAATGCACCTTGTTTACCCCCCAAAAGTTTTCATAAGCATATTGTTTCCAATTTCTCTTGAGTATTAGTCTATAGTCATCAAAAGAGAAAACAAAGACAACGGGTATGCAAAATTTTGGTCGGTAAACAACTGAAGGTACCTTATGGTCTATGTGAAAATAGCGAATGGTTGTTTTTCATCGATACCTCAATTACTTTTCCATCTTTTCAAAAAAGGTAGCTGATAGAATACGATACGCCGATAACTTCTTGCACAACGTGTGTAGGAAACTGTAGTTGTTATTAATGGTGCTGTATACTTCTACATAAAAAAGGTAAGCGCAACGCTGGGACGATGATTGTTATTTCTTTCCTCTTCAGTTTATCTTGTTTTTACTCATTCCAATTACCCCTAGAATGCTACAGCTACAGCTACCTGAATGACTCGGTTAGAGCACAAGGCTTCTACAACGGATACTATGGCTATTACCAATGCGATAGCAACCTTCCATTTGGATGGTATCGATTTAGTGGGTCAGCAGGATCTCAAATGGCTACTAGTTGTGTTGGTAAAAATCGCTGCAGTTCGCACGCGCCGGGATGGTTAAGTACCCCGCATCCTTCAAAGGATGATGGCATAGTCAGTGGTACAGTGTGCTTCCACTGGGACAGTAGTTGCTGTCACTGGTCGACGAATATACGTGTTCGAAATTGTAGCGGGTTTTACGTCTATGAGCTTGGACCACCCCCAACATGCTGGTTACGTTACTGTGGAAACGGAGGAGGTATGTTGCATCTTTTACAACAAACCGTAAAGGTATGGCTTGTGTGGCAGGCGAAAACAAAGGGTCCCTTTCCTTCTCTCCCAAATCCCCTATCCCTTTTCCCTCCCTTCCCTCCCCCATTTTTGCGTCACTCTGTCACGCAGGCTAGAAAAGTATAACCACCATTTTTTTTTTCTAACCGAGAATCTCTGTTTAATTGCTTTGACAGCTTATAATTCAACTAATTCAAGTCTTGACAGGATATCACCGACCCCAGGTATTTAATATTCACTGTTTAATATGGAAACATGACCCAAGTTTAGAGTAACGAATCTGCGAGGTCAGTAGGGTATGAGTCCACATATTAAAAGTTACTCATTTTAAGACCAAAGTAGATACAACTTTCTTGCTCACCTACTTGAGTGTTTCTCTTTGACTTGCAGCAATATCTCCAACAGTTGCAGCTTCTTCCTCAGTCTCTTCCTTTGGTAAGAAAATTAGGTCGCTTCAATAATACGCCTTGACGCGTATCTTTGTATCATATCCAGAGCTTGTATTAGGTATTTTAAGTAAAATAATAATGATGCTGATAACAACAACAATAATAATAATAATAATAATAATAATATTATTATTATTATTATTATTTTTATTATTATTTTTATTATTATTTTTATTAATATCATTTTATGATTCATAATTCTGAGAGAGAAATAGATAAACTAATAAACTAATGATAGCGTCCACAAAATAGAGAAAGATTTATGATATAAAGAGTACAAATCTTACGTTGTATGTTTGTGACAAACAAATTAAGCGACGTAGTTGTGAACTTAAGTTGCGTAAACAAAGGTTTTTTTGATTTTTGCCCGTGTTCAAAACTTTGTATAGCCGAATCGAAGGTAGTATGCCAGTTGGCTTGTACTGAGACAATTGAACTACTTTTTTCATTTTCTAAAAGTGAATTAATAGCTAGTCGCCGAGGCAAGTAGCGCAGATACGACTTTAATTTAACTTATGGAAAACTCCAACTCGCAGCCCCCCCAGGGGAAGGGGGGTAGTCAACAAATGTTTACAGGGGAAGGATCCGCTCCAAGGTCCAACCCCTTACCCTTTTATATACTACTTTTCACAAAAAAAAGTACCTCTTTTGTATACCTTCCGTTATTGACAACTGGTACCCCTTTCACATACTTTGTTTGAAACTTTGCATCCCTTTTAACTGCTGTAAATGCACTGTTCTTTTAAAAAAGAATCAATCACAAAAATTGAACGTTTTCACGACTTTATAAAGCCATAAAATCCATCTGTTAGCCCTTTCACAGACCCAAATATGACAGGTTTCCCTACCCTTTCGTATACTTCTACGAGTAAAATTCCTACCCTTTCATATACCTGAGGTCTGAAAAAGATATACCTTTCGGGAGGAGCCTCCCAGTATAGGCCATCATAGGGTATTACCCCCCCCCCCAACTCCTCCGGGCTCTTAGCCTAACTGATATATAATTGATTATTTTTTTTTTACTGAATATTGGAAGCGATACGGAAAGGATGTGCGATTATTCAAACTGTATAAAGGATTTTAACCCTACTTGATATTGTCGCTTCAATTTAATTAAGTTTGAGGTTAGACGTTCTTAGGGGGTTCGTCACGCGTCTGTGTGGGAGGCTACTTTGAAGAGAATCAAAGTTCTATGAACTTATTACCTATGAAATGTACACTTTATATTATTTTCAGCAATTTCACCAACAAAAAGTTCTTCTTTTATGCCATTTAGTATATCCAATTCTGGTAAGTAGATAAAAGCCTTGTTTGCCTTTAGAGTTAAATTCAAGAAGGCTTGCACTTTCAAGTCTACTTGGCTTGAGTGAGGTTTGTTTTCCTAAAGTAGGCCACGTGAGTTTTTCCCCGGAATTAAGGGTTACCACGTAAATAAGACAAAATTTGAAAGATACTTTTCTCTAGAGTAACATAAGTTATATTTTACAAACCTTCGGTATGCTATTGGCATCACGCAGGGGGGAGAAGATTATTGGCAAATCCTCACTTTTCCCCACTTTGAAGACCCCAATGGTCTAAAAAGAATTACAGTGGCTTGACCTGGTGAACGGATACTAATTAAAAGTGACGTCGATACCTTATTACTGACTAAGATAAAACAAACTTATAGGTACTGTAAAAAAGATATTCTAGCAACAACAAAAAATTGAGGAAAAAAATTATTAAGCAATTTATGGATTTTTTTAACGTTTGATCGTACAGTTCAGTCATCATTTTTATATACAGCATAAAGCACCGTGTTTACCCCCCCCCCCCCCC